CTTTGAACATATGACTCGCAGTCTACGCGTGCTTTGGATCCGATCTGAGACGTAGAGAGGGGGGAGCGGAGGGGGAAGACAGTTAGGGGGTGGGGGGGGGGGGGGGGGGGGGGAGGGGCTTAATTCAAATTGAGTAATTTGAAAAGAATAAAACAAAAGACGAACGAAGTTGGAAATTTTTCTGAGAAAAAACCATCATTGGTAACACTCAAGGTTTCACGCTTTATTTCCTTTTTTTGCCTCGAAGGCTTCCTTAAAGATTAAAAATAGCATATCCTTACTCAGCTCAACACGATTCATCCATCCATGTGTAAATTAATTGGAGAAAAATTGATCCGTTCTGGATTTACTTGTCCCGTACTGTTTTTACTATGTGAGCCATTAAAACAAATTAGGCTGCCTACGCTTTCTGTCGTACTTTTTCGGCGAAATCAAATGGTCTTTTTCTCTGTGGATTTTCAATATGAGGCAGTCTATTTATATTAATTTTTACCCTTTTTGTTTTCATTGCTGGAAAAAGCAATTTTACTTTTCGCTAAATACGAAACTACGACTATGTTTGTTATTTAGGGTGTGGCTGTGGCTGTGAGGGTGTGGGTGTGGGTGTGAATGTCGAAGTGAGAAACGCCCACATCCATACCCGAAGATTGATGTAGTGTATTAGCACTATAGACGATAAATTTCACGTTACTCGAAACATTTTTCAAGTATATGGTGGCGGAGTACGAATTACTGAATTGCCATTACGTTTTAGGATTATGGTGAACGGTATAAAAATATGTACAGACTGTCCTTTGTGAATATATTCTGGATTGATGATGACATTATATGCATATTTTTCGTTAGTTTTCATTGCATTATCAACGAAAATAAGCGAAGTGATGTGGGATACCATGGTGTGCAGGACAAAAGTAAACAGTAACTATTGCAGAAAAGAAAGAAGGTTAATGGACAAAAAAAAGAGAGAGAACCAATGTCAATATACCGAAAAGAAAGAAAGAAAGTGAATGTACAAAAGACGGAAAAAAGAAAGTGAATTGGAAAAAACCTACAATACAAAAGGAGAAGTGAGTCAATATGAACATCACTCGTAGTCATGAAAGTCAATAGAGGATTGAGAAAGTGTATTGCAAAGCACTTTACTATGCCATATTATTCATTTTTTAGTGAAGAATTGTGAATTGTATGAATGCATTATGAAATACTACCCATTTTCTTATGACGCAATTACCAGTTCAGCCATTCATCAAGAGAGAAGAAGTAATGAATCATAGCTAGAAGTTAGAGAGGAAGAGAAACAAGTTTTACTGCTGAAGTTTTCATATTTATACATCAGTTTCTTGGCAAGATACGAATCAATATACATATCACTTGTCACCAATGTAAGCAACTAATTTAGCCGCTAAGTATGAAGCAAAAGGTTAGTGAATTCTTCGAAGAGTTATTTGCATAGGGTTTATATATGACTGGGGAGAACCCATCGCGTTTTCTATTCAAAGTAATGTGAAAATATGATCAAGATTTACCAGGTGGTTGCTTCTGAATTATAGGAGTAGATGTTGAATTGAGATATTGGTAACGATATTTTTCTGTGAAACTAGAAAGGTTTGTTCATTGTTGTAACATAGGAAAGAGAACTATGACAAGATTTTATTCTAAACTAGGGGTGCAACAAATCTTGAATAGATTTGGGATTTGGCACCAAATCTTTGAGATTTGGACTTGGATTTGGATTTGGTTTCTGGATTTGGGTATGGTTCGGATTTAGTTCCTAGATGTGGATTTCATCTCGATTTAAATCTCAGGATTGCTGCTATCACTTTGCTTGGCTTAGATTTCGGATTCGGAATTGGTGATATGCTTGAAATTTGGGATTTGGATTTGGACTTGGGATTTGGTTTCAATCTAACATGACTCCAACTTTGTAGTCTTGTTATATTGAAACCAAATATCAACCTCCAAATCCAAATCTCACACCCAAATCCTATCCAAATCCCAACCTGCTATACACCAAATCTCAAATCCAAATCCCCAAACCCAAATCTGTACCAAATCTAAACAATTTCATATCAATTTATAAGACTTTGGATTCTTTTCTCCCTTCTGAGACTTTATTTTACAGATTCTCATCATATTTGGGTAATTTAAGACCAAACCCAAACCCAAATCCAAGTCCAAATCCCAGTCTAGAACAAACCCAAATCTTTTTGTACCAAATCCCAAGGCTTTGGATTTGTTGCACCCCTATTCTAAACAATAGCCAATAGTAGAGCAAAGAAAAAGGATTTCATCGATTTTTTAGAAGAGAGGGTATGTACACTGCACCAGATCTAGGTAAGTGTGCGGATGGGCTTCCATGTTCTCTTAATCCACACTCACACCCAGACCCTTTCTGAAAGCTTCCAAAAACATTTCAACAGTAATTACGAAATCCTCGGTTTAGCCAGCTACTAGGGGTGGGTGTGGGTATTTCCTTGCCCACTCACACCCTTTTGTAGCATCAGATCTATATCTAGATGTGTCTATGTTTTTTAATGAAAATGCTTTATTTTTGTAAGGAACAGTTTGATAGTTTCTAAGTGAGGGTGATCGGACAGATCATCGCAGGACAAATCGTTGCGAACAAAACATTGCACGGACAAAATGTCGCAAGGACAAAATGTTGCAACATTTTATTATGTTAGATATTCGTATAGACCAAGTTGATTTCATAAAGTATTATGTAAGGATGTGGGTGTAGAGTGCAGAGTGTGGGTATGACGGGCGGGTGTGGGTGCAGGATGCCGATGAGGAGTTCAGGAGGCGGGTGTGGCATGTGGATAAGTGTGAATGGGTTTGTGTGTTTGCCTGTAGATGTGAGGTGGGTGTCGATACTTAAGGGAGTTGTGTAGTGTAGACAGTTATAACCAACTTAACCCACACGGAATTCCTTCGCTGTCCTCATCACACCAACAGCTACGCCTAAATCCGCAATAAAACTCAAAGTTGACACCCATACTTCAAACCCTAAACCATGCACCTGCCCTCTAAACTCAGAACCTGCACATACACTCTAAACTTCACACTCTTAGATTATACTTTAAGCAGTAGATTTGATTTATAGAAATATCTAGCATAATGAAATGTTGCAACAATTTGTCCTTGCGACATTTTGTCCGTGCAACGTTTTGCCCATGCAACGAATTGTCCTGCAACGATCTGTCCCAGCGCTCTAAGTTAGCACAGTCGTAGTTTCTAGAAAAGGAAAAGTTTAACTCAATTGGTCTGAAGAAAGCCGAAAAAGAAACCTTTTTATGCTGGTAGAGTGGCCCTTAAAGTAACTGCTTCCTGCATGACACAGCAAAATCAAATTATTTCATATGACATCTTTTAATGAGATCAATCGAATGTTTTAATTCTCAAAATTTTTACTTTTTACTCTTATATGATCATGTCATTCTATTCGAATTACTGTTTGGACTCACATCTATAGCGAAAAAAGTGAGAACCCTACTATACCTCACAGACTAGCAGACACTGAGACCCGGTTGCTCCTTCGGTCTCATTACGAAATTTAATGAATGTGACGAAGGTTCTTGTGTATGATAAAAGCGGTCCCATCATGTTCACCTTTTAATTGCGTAGGGATCGTTCTGAAAGCTTTTATTTTTTTTAGGATCATTTACTATTGTGTTACTTTTGTTTAGTATTCTAGATCGTATTCCCCACAGAAAATTTCCTCTTATGAAGTCTATTCGAAAAGTAGTAGCCGTTCATGGTGCTGCCGGTGCCGGTAAAACAACAATGCTAAGAAAGATCGGTGAACGTTTTTGTGATAATAAGTGCAATATTGTACTCGAATCAATTGATAATCTTTGGAAAACGAACAGCTATCATCAAAAACGATCTAGCTTAGACCTTTTGTCGACAACAATTAAAGCATCAGAAAAGGTGATTCAAACAAATAAGCAAAAGATGATTTTATTATTCTTTCTATTGATATTTTCCCTGTATCTATTCATCAGTGAAAGTTATCATCTACTCGTAATTATATGGATTGTTCCTTATGCCATCATATTCATATGCCAGTTACTATCTAGTCACCTGTTGTCAAAATTGTGGAATTATTATTCCAATCATTATCTTAAATCTAACGAGATCATAAATCTTTATTTGAGTAAAGAAAGTAATAAAAATGTTGTTCATTGGACATGGTTCGATAGAAACTGTGTTGATATTTATGGCTTTTGTTGCATTGATCAACCTTTAATCGTACCGAAAGATTTTCTAAATGTTTTAGAAGATCAAACAGTTAAAACCAGCGTAGCCATCATCGTTGACACACCAAAGAAAGTCATTTATCAACATCTAGGAGCAAGAATTTGTGGTCAACAATCAACGAAAAGAACACGTTTCATTACAAAACTATTAATCAAGATTCCATTTATGATACAAACGACATTTCAGGCCCTTAATTTCATTGAAGAATGGTACTATGCATTCAACATACCACTTATTAAAATCAGTCAACTTTATCCTGAACTTGATAAAGACAAAGAAACACAAGAAATACTTTGGACAAAACATTCTATTGATATTCTACTGAATGCAATCGAAAAAGTAATTGAAAACAAACAACCTATCACTGAAGAACAACTCATATCTCAGAAACAATTAAAAGAACCATGGTCAACAAAAATTCGACAGAATTCTATTATTCACTAGATGTCTACCTGAATACATTTGTTCTCTCACATTAATTCTGAGTATATATGTATAACGATAGAAACCATCAATTCTGTATGGACTAACATTATATGTCTATTATTATTAACATATTCGACTAAATTAAGTAATCTAAGTGAAATTTTGTAGTTTATTTGATTTCATCTATATTATATTAACCATTAACAAACGCATATCATACTTAATGAGTTTAACTAAATTATGCTTTTTCAAAGTGAGCGGACAATATTTTTGAACAGTGTGTGGTTCATAAGGAATAAGATTCTCCGTATCTCACCTTTTATTTTTTTATCCCTTTAAACCATAGGTTTGGTTGTATTGCCAACAGATAGGCTGTTAAATTTTGTAAAATATTTTATGTTTCATATCACATAAATAGCATTTATCGTGTTTCGAATTATGAGAAACTTACTTGATAAAGTTATTAGCATTTTTCTAATATTCGCATAGTTAAACTTTGAGCAATGATTTTGTGGAAAACGTTTGAAGATGAGTGTTGAAGGAAATATTGAGAAAAACAGTCTCTGTCTCTCTCTCTTAGACCGTGATCGAAATGTCGACATTCTATTATGATTTTTCTTATCATTGAATTTTTTTGTTTTTGAACATCGAACTTCTGAATTCTCGGATTTTGGATCGATAAGAAATCTCGATATTCAAAAAAGCTCCTTTCTCTCTCGTAATACGGTATATTAGTCCCTATTACAACCTATTGCAGACACTTAGAGATGATTCTGTCTTGGTCTTGTGCTGAATTGACATAAGTATAACGAACAGTTCGCTTGCCTTGCACATTTGAATCCCGTATAGATTACGACAAAAACTTTTCCTAACATTTTGTAATGAGCACTAATTAGTTGAACTGTCCGAAAAAAATGATTATTAAATGTTTAGCTATTCGAATACTGAAAAAATCCAAAATGTAGTTATTTTGAAAATTACTGATTACTTTTTCAAGCAAGTTTCTCCTAAGCTGTAACAAGATGAAAGCTATATAAGTAACATGAAACGTACCATATTATACAGATTCTGGCGGGGTATCTTTTGGCAAAATAGTCAGACTTTAACACTTGAAGCAGATGAAAAATTACAGCTTAGATACAGAGACTCATTCGTTATGAACAGCTATTTACTTTTTTTTCAAAATCATATATTAATATTGTACATAATGATTTGCTTATGCGCTATTATTATTTTTTTAAATAAAACTTTAAGTAACAAAGAAAAGAAAGCGAAGAAAAGCTACGAAGAAAAATTGTGGAATTCACTTTTTCTTTCACTTGAAGCGTTTTACCTCACTAATAAAGAAAAAACTTATGTTGTATATTGGAAAATTTTATTAGTACTTTTCGAAATTTTATAAGAAGATTATTTTTACCTTATTTCAGATGCTGACATTAATTTTATTTTCATGTTTTATTTGCTTACTAATTGTGTACTTTTTTCAAATGAAACATATATATGGATATTTCAAACGTCGGTATATTTCCGGTCCTAGACCATCGTATTTTTTTGGTAATCTACGAATGATTTGGTCTTCTAACGCTTATTCTCGACAATTAGAAAAATGGACACTTCAATATGGACAAATCTATGGAATGTTTGAAGGACGCAATCCAGTGTGGGTCGTATCAGATATTGAATTTTTACAAGAAGTATTTATAAAACAATTTGGAAATTTTTCATCAAGAAAAACGACAGTTTTTTCTCGACCATCTACAGGAAAACGAGTACATTTGTTTGATGCACAAGGAATAAAATGGAAACGACAACGATATGTTATTAATCCAACATTCACTCCGTTGAAGTTAAAACAATTAACACCATTACTTCTTAATTGTATTAATGAATTATTGGATGAATTTCCTATCAATGGACAAGATTTTAATATATATGAGTATTATAAAAAATTAACAATGAATGTCATATGTCTGTGTGTTCTCGGTATTGAAACACATTCAAATCATTTATTTTTGAAAAAAAGTGCACAATTTTTTTCCAACGATATACGTAAACGTATGATTGCTAAACTTGGAAGTCTTATACCGGTCTTTCGACCGTTATTTATCAAAATATTCATGCTTCAAAATAATATACGTCGAACATTGCATAATTTATGTCCATCTATATTTTTTCCATCATACGAACTCCCTCCAAGTTTATGGTTACTCGATCATCTTGAACAAATGGTCAAAGATCGACAAGCTAGAGGAAATGAACGTCTAGATTTATTACAATTAATGTTGAAGGCTACTACAATTGAACAGCAAATTATGCAGGTATTGAATATATCTACTAAACAAAGAAAAGAAAACTTCGTTTGTCTTTTTTTTGATCTTTCAGAATGAAACAACAAATGAAATGCAAAAGAAATTGATACATGATGAAGTTATTATGAATGTATTTTTATTTTTAATAGCTGGCTATGAAACAACATCGACAGCTCTGGCTTGTGCTACATATATTTTGGCATTGTATCCACATGAACAAACCAAATTACAAGAAGAAATTGATCATTCACCGTTGAGTGATGTCAATGAGCTGGAACAATTAGACCTATTTATTAAAGAAGTTCTTCGTATGTATCCAATACCAATATCATTTGTTAATCGTCTTTGTCTCAACGACACAATTGTTTGCAATCAACATATTTCAAAAGGTAACAATATACAAGGTTTTCTTATGTTGTCAAGTCTAAATTAAATTCTGATATTTTTTTAGGTGATATTATACAACCTGATATCTATTCGATCCATTATAATTCGGAACTTTGGGGTCCTCATGATCCATACGAATTCTATCCCGATCGTCATCGAGATAAACGACGATCACCAATGGCTTTTATGGCATTTGGCAATGGTCCACGAAATTGTGTTGGAATGAGATTTGCTCTACTTGAAATGAAATTATTTCTGGTAAACTTACTTCGGAAATATACTGTATTGAAATCACCAAAACTCGAATCCCATTTCAATATAAGAGAATTAACATTGATAACACCTGATGAAGTTTGGATTCGGCTTGAAAAGAGAACGCGAACAGTGTGTGATTCGGAATCTTGAACATGATATCGTAGTTCGAACGAATTTATATGTATTTAAAGTGGGCCACAAAAGTTTAAGACACTTTTTATTTTATTTTTCATTTTTTTTAAAAGAAAGAACAAATAAATATCTTTATATATATATATATTTATGTAGGTAGGGTTGAGGTCTACATGGTTCATTTATGTGTCATCAAATCGGTCGTTAGCTGAGAATGTACAGCGAAATAGAATTTTTTCTCTATAGTCAAAAGTTTAAGATACTTTTAGTATTGTATCGATTTTATCGTTATTGAAAACAGAAAAAAATCCACTAAAATATACCATTAGATACAGAATTGAACGGGCTACAATTTGGTATAGAAAATTTGTGGGTGTGGGTGTGGGTGTAAATAAAGAAAAGACAGATACCCACACCCACACCCACACACCCACACACCCACACACACCCACACACACCCACACCCATCCACACCCACACTCTCACACCCACACCCTCAAGCGTGGTGAAGTTTATGGGGTCCAGAACAAAAATGGCATACAACTGATCAAGTGGAAAGATAAAAGAGACATTTTGATGATATCCAGAAAACCGTCCCATTCAACAATTGTGGTAGATACCAGGAAAACCAATAAATTAAATGAGCGCATCATGAAGCCACAAGTTGTCCTCGATTATAATGAAGGAAAACAAGGTATAGATTTATCCTTG